ATAATAGACCGGTCTGAGAGTTGTGTAATGTTAGTCGATGTCACTATTCCACATGACGAGAATCTCGTGAAAGCTGAAAAGGAAAAAGTGTTAAAATACCTAGATTTGGCTCACGAGGTTACCGCCATGTGGCGTATGAAATCGACTACCATTATTCCGATAGTCGTATCGGTAAATGGACTGATAGCGAAGAGCTTCGACCAACATCTCAAGAAGCTCTCGCTAAACAGTTGGATTAAGGGCCCGATACAAAAGGCAGTTATCCTAGAAACTGCGCGCATCGTGAGAAGGTTCCTGTCTCTGCAGCCCTGACCACTGGTTGTTTGAGTCATGGGATTCCGCAGCCGGTGGTGTTCTCTTTTTAATATAATATGTTTTGTATATATATATATATATTTATATGAAATGTATTATATTAGAAATGTGATAAATAAATGTATATGGATTATAAATGCGAATGTTTGAATGTAAATGAATGTTAGAAGGTATCTCTAGATCGGCTCAACGGACCTTGATGAAATTTGGCATAGATGTAGAACATAACATGGAAGAATACACAGGCTACTTGCTAAGTTTATCTTTTAATCCCGTGCAGACGAAGTTGCGGGCGACAGCTAGTGTAAGTCTATGTATAGAGTTCATTAATAACTGGCTATCTAAAGAGTGTTAAATCAATGTTAATGCATATTTGTATTTAATGAAGACGAATGTTTCTATTGATCATGCTTGTGGTTTGCGAAAGCGTGTGTACGATCGGTTACAAAATCAAAACCTTCATAAAACTATGTGCTGATAAGCTTGGAAAAATCTTACTAATATTATAAATGCGTATGTTTAGATGGATGGATGGATGTTTGTTTGAAGGTATCTCGAGAACGGCTCAACAGATACTGCTGAAATTTGAAACAGATATAGAGCATAGTCTGGAAGAACACATAGGCTACTAATTATAATAAGTGTTTTTTTTTAAATTCCGCGCAGACAAGTCGCGCGACAGCTAGTAAATAAATAAAAATAAATAGAAAGCTTATCTTTTATTATACTTATCGTAGTTTAAAAATTCCACATTTCAGCGTCGGTGTCGCAGGGGTTAAGTACTTGATTTTAAAACTGCAGGTCCTGGGTTCGAATACCGCCATGTACCAATATGTGTTATTACATTTGTCTGATGTTCTTACAGTGAAGGAAAACAATGTGTTGCAAACTGCACATATTTGAGAAGAAATTCAAAGATATGTGTGAGGTTAACCAAACCGCACTGGGTCAACGTGATTGACTATGGCCTAGTCGCCTCTAAGTTAGGGTAGGCTCCGATCTTCTCAGTGAGGACGTAAAGTGAGCTTACTAAAAGTTTAATAATTTCATCATGCTATTTTTAAAAGGTTTGGTTTATCCTCTTCATAAATGGTGGTACGCGATTTTTTTATGTAGATATATGTACGTACTAAATAAGGCCTTGTCACTGCACTGATAACCATGCTGCATGCGTACAATGCATGCTTCCTTGAACAATAGTATCGTCACTATTCAAAACAATCGATTGTGGTCGATATGCAAATCTATTTAACGACAGAATGTTTATAATAAAGTTTGAAATAAAAGGACGTTTAAAATGTTTTATTTGCGTTTATATTTAAAACTAGTTTTAATTAGTAGCTTATGTGATCTTCCAGAATATACTGTTTTATAGATACTTTTTGTTAGGAAGAAAATCCGACAATGTGTACTGGCACAACACTAGCCTTACTAAAATGTCGACGTGTATGTCCCCTCACTATTTATTCTGACACTGGACTTTGTAACGAAAGCATGTCATTCGCGCCAAAGGATTCTAATGTCTAAAATTTCTAATAAACATTCATCCACCTAAACATTCGCGTTCATAATATTAGTATGATAGTGATGCGATTTCTCTTGAGGTATTCGAGATAAAAATTATCCGATTTATGTTTAATCAGATTATACACAGTTCCTGTATTTCATCATGATTAGTTGGATAGTTTCAGAGTTTATCTCGAAATATTGTGACACAAGACTACGTATTTTTCTGATGAGACCAGTATATGTATAACGAATCATTTCTTTTGCAGTCTAAGACGAAAATAATTAAAGAAAACTATTTAATTTGTTGTATTCCTCGCGGACGAAGTCATGGGTAACATTAGCTCACATCGAAATTGTCAGATTGTACCGTTATATGCAGATATAAAGAATGTGGAGAAAATTATGTAGAGTGGTCATAATGTGGAGGTCATTTAGAGATAAGAAATCTCTAATATACAAATTACATACAAGTAGCGGGACAAAGTAAAATGAATGCTTTTATTGAAATGTAAATAGACAGACAGAGACAGAGCGCCAAATTCCATCCTTTCCATGTCGATGGCTGGCATTTCACAACGACGAGATTTTCGCGTAACTTTTTACCTCGCACAGCCGCGTTGTGGAACACCCTGTCCTCAGCGGTATTTCCAAACAGTTACGACTTAGGCCTTCAAGAAAAGAGCCAAGTACACCTTCCTTAAATGCCGGCAACGCATCTGCGGTTCCTCTGGCGTTGCGGATGTCCATGGGCGTCGGATCAAATAATATTAGGCGATTCGTTGCTCGTTTGCCCCCTTCTCCTATAAAAAATAAAAATAAATAATACAAACAAAAAGGGATTGCTATGACAAATAATTGTAATCAATCGATTTGTTTACAACATATTTTGATATGTCAATGTATGCCACGGTCAAAAATCATCATTTTATTTAATATTTACACGATTTTTCACAGATTCAATAAATCTTAGTAATGAAATTTCAACAAAGAAGATAAGCAAAATTAATGTACTCAGGTGTTTGGGTAGAAATGATTAAGCTGAAAGGAAAGCGGTAAAGTAGTTAGATACAGCGACGTTCATAAACATCCCATGAACAATAATGTAATGAGATTGAACGCAGATAGCTACAAAGGTAGAGGAAGACCGAAGAACGAAGAAAGTATGGATGAATAGTGTGATAAGGATATGCGTAAGAAGGGAGCGACTCCAGATGTTACGACTAATAGAGATTTATGGAAGAGTACATATAATACCGACCCTCTAAAGCTAAAAGGGCAGGCTGATTAGAGATAAGATATAAAAATATTAAATACTATATAATAATATGTCATCTATACTATATATCATCCTGTATAATCATATACAGGGATGTCTTGGTTCTCACAAACTAATGAATGCCAGCTTGGATTATTGACTAAGGTTGGTGGCTTGAATAATATTAAGAACTATCTACAAACTATAAATGTACTGTATAAGTGCATTTTCTATCGTATCTACTATAGGGAGTGCTCTGAAGAATTGTTTGGAACGATTCCTGCCGCCGAGTTCTGTCATCGGACGACACGACAGACCGCTAGGTTCCATACACAGTATCTCGACGGTTGGCAATCCACAACCGTGCGGTTTTCGCGGATTTTTCTACCTCGCACAGCCGCGTTGTGGAATGGTTTGTCCTCGGCGGTATTTCTAAACCGTTACGACTTAGGGTCATTCGTTATCATCATCTCTAAGGCAGGCAATGCATCTACGGTTTCTCCGGTGTTGCTGATGTCCATGGGCGTCGATGAACACCTCAGTGTTCTCGCTGCTCGTTTGGCCCGTTCTCTTATAAAAAAGGTGCGAGTTTTGCAGTTGTTATAGAGCCCTCAAACACTAAGATTATAGTCTCACAAGAAGCACTATAGAAGATATATAGTACAAGTATATAAATAAGATAGCTTAGGTAATAAGAAACGAGAACCTAGTACAAGTTTTTACTCATACTGTTTACCAAGAAAGTCGTGTTAGCGTAATTTCATACAAATGGTCTAACTCTAATGCGATGGAGTTGGTAAAGGAATGAGAAAAACACGTATTAGATGCTATGAGTAGTTTGAACGCCTAGAGGCTTGAATATTTTTAGAATAATCAAGTTCATCCGGTTTTTAATTTTAATTTTTTTTTCCGGGATTGGATTTCTTTACCGGTTATATACTGTATTGTAATTCGTAATATATTCGATGAACCAGCCTCACAGCTATCATCAACGGATACATAATTATAATTTGTTGACAAAATACCACATTCTCAAATATTTAATTACGTTCAGTTATTTTAAAACAATAAACAGTCGTTTAACAATATCAACATTCGTGTTAAAATAAAAATATTTAACTAATGTTTGCATATATAGATATATACATATAGCTATAGCCCACGACTACGTCCGCGCGGAATTAAAAAAAAACTTAATTAGTAGCCTAAGTGTTCTTCCAGACTATGTTCTACTTTTTCTTCGCATACTTCATTACTGAAGGTCGTGCTCGTCTTGATATGCCTTTACAGATGCAGCGACAAGCTGCCTCCACGCCGTCCTGTCTTCGGCTTGCCTCGGGGCAGTCGTGATATTAAGCCCCAATACAGCCTGCACTTGATCGGACCAGCGGGTAGGTGATCGACCCCGTGACACCTTTTAGCAAGATCCATCTAAAATTTTGCATTTATAATACTAGTAAGATAAAATAGACACCTTATCTGGAACACAAAACTGAGGAAAAAATATAAAAATGACATAGATACATATGTACCTACATGAGTCTTATGTTATTTTTTTAATTATTATGCATAAATAGAAATATAGCCTGGTCACTCTTCCATTGAATGTACACCGACATGATAGGATAAAGAAATGACGAAAACCCCAGTTCTTTTTTTTAAATTACATTTTCACTTACATGGAAAATCACAATTTCTAAAAATATTTCATCAAATGAATCCAAAATCTTGGACGAGTTGGTACAGTATTGGGAAATGTCATCTTACATTGTAAAGGGAAACATAATGTTGCACGGGTTAAATGTAATTACTTTCACGGAAATGCGTGCATGAACTTCGTTGCGTTTTTGCGCACGCGTGATGTCTTGACATCTGGCGTTGTTGGCACTGCTCGTAGTTCGTAACGCCAGTATGTCGCTGCGCGCCAGCCAGGCTGGGTTGTGCGCGATAACGGAATACTGGCCATACAAATACCACGACACCGATAAATACTTTTTAAAAGAAAATACGAATGACATCGCGCTTTTCGAATTTCAATTGTTTATGATAATTGTTAGTTCGGAAATTAAATTTTAGTGCAAATTGTGCATAGACATATGCAAGATTTTGTGACTTTTTCCATGAGATTGTTTTTCGTGTTTCTTTGAAAAAAATAATTTCAGGAAAAGAAGGTAAGCAGTATTAAATATTTTTAATTTATTTAATTAAAACAAATTGTAGACGTTTGTTTGTAGAATAAAATTGACTAAAAGTGGCACTTCATAGTTTATTTTAAGAATTTCATTTTTTATTTGACATGAAAATATTTTTTTCTCGCATAAACAAATTAAATTAAAAAAATAACCAAAATAGAAAGTAATTAAAAAAAATTATTACAGAGAAAAAATTCATTTGCGAAGAACAAAAACTAGTAGAGCTATTAAATGTCATGTGCGGTCACTATCACTTTGCCTGTTTATAATATTACTAGCCGGCGACCGCTACTGCGATTGCGCGGAATTAAAAAAAATAATAAGTAGCCTATGTGTTCTTCCAGACAATTTTCTATATCTATACTAAATTTCAGCGAGATTCGTTGTGCTATTCCGGTGATACTTTAACAAACAGCCAACCATCTAAACATTCGCATTTATATTAGGTGGGCAACTAAGTTCTCACTTTTTTTTTCGATAAAAATATAACTTTATTATTAAAAAATGGTTACAAATGAAGCATTCAAAGTATTGCCCATCGCTAGACACAACTTTTTCCCATCTTTCTGGTAGAGCTCGAATACCTTGACGCCAGAAGTGTTCGTCTTTTGAGGCTATCCACGAATCAAGCCATTTTTAATATGATTATTATTTCTTTATTTGGGGTTTCATAATTATGTTTTCGGGTAACACAGAATAAAATTATTATAATTAATATTGTATTTTCGTGCAAGCAAACATGCTGCCTGACCTAATGATATAGTTTTATTTGGCTGCAGAGGCAATTATGTTTGCATTCTTTTTAGCCGACTTTACAAGCGAAGCTTTTTTCTTAGTACTTTTTTCTTTTTAGTAAAGTTTCGAAATGTAGTGAACGTAAAATAAGCATTATACTTTCCAATGTTTGTCTTAAATATTTAAATTAATCTTGTAATTCTGACCTCCACAATTTTTACGGTGCTTAATATATAGAAATTTTTCAGTAATTCTAAACATCTAAGAATTTGCTTGTATATCTTAAGGAGAGATAAAGGCGATCCTGGGTAAAAAGAGATATCGGGTATTTTGAGCACTCTACCAACATTTTGACAAAAATGGCGAAGAGTGTTTTGTCGTAAAGTGTAGAATAGAAACATTTTCATAAATAAATAAATAAAAACAAACCGTTGCTATTTGATGTAATTTGTTCATTTTTAATTTCGGTAATGAAGCATCAAAAAAAAAAAAAAAAAAAAAAA